AGGTATTTATTATGTGTCTGGTCACATGATGCTAACTGTAGGTATTTTAATGTGACCCTCCATGTGTCCTCAGAATCAGCTCACCAGTCGTCTCCAGGATTCGGACAGTAAACAGGAAGTGGAAAATGAGTCTAGCAGGAGGAGCCTGTCTGTGTCCTCTCAGTCCAGGAGGAAGCAGAGCTGTGGAGGAGACCCGGTGCTCAGAGCCACTATGAGGCAGCTGCAGCAGCTCGGAGTCGACGTGGACCGAGAAGATCTGACGGAGTCTGAGCGCAGAATCCATCAAACGGTGGAGAGCAACAGGTATGGAGCTCAGCTGAGGGATTAAATGTGTTTAAAATACTTTAAAGTCAGGGTTCACTGATGCAGCTCTTACATGTTCAGATGAACGAACGAGTATCAAAGAGTCCACAGTTCAGAACAATCCTCAACTACTCTGAATGTTTCTTTACAACATTCCTGTTTGCTTGATCAAATCAAACTAGAATAAGAACCGTTATAACAGACCGTAGTGGATCAGTGATCCGTACTGACCCCCCTCACGGTTTAACGTTAACCAGCACAGTATAAATAAAGTTTTACTGACGATCACATTGACTCATTTTGTTTTTGAAGGCAGTTTGTGAATAAATCTCCAGATTTATCAACTGTTACTTGCCAAAAGTTTAAAAAAAAAAAAGTTTAAAAAAACAGTTGCATTACTTTTTCAGGTGAGAAAGTAACAGAGAGTGTGTGTGTGTGTGTGTGTGTGTGTGTGTGTGTGTGTGTTCCAGCATTCTGGCGAGCATTAACCCGGCGGCGGTTCTGTCCCGTCTCAGCGTGTCCGAGCCGACAGACAGCTGTCTATTCCCTGAAGGCAGCGTGGATCTGAGTCTGGAGGCCAACGCCATCGCCCTGCGTTACCTGAGCGACTCGCAGCTCAGCAGGCTCTCTGTGGGAGGCCACGCCCCCCGCCCAGGGCCCGCCTCCAACCACTCCCTGCTGTCTCCTAGCAACATGTCTCTGGCAACCAGGAAGTACATGAGGAGGTACGGCTTGATCGAGGAGGAGGAAGAGGAGGTCGATGTTCGCCAGCCGCTGACCGAAGCCCTGAACGTAAAGCTCCTCCCACAGAGTCAGCTGATCCGGGACTTGCGGCCCAAAATGCAGCTGTTAGCGGGCGGCGCC